AGTATTGATAATGATCCTTAGATATCGATGTGATCTTGACAATTATGAATATCGATACTCTCACTCAAGTAACGTTACTTGTCTATTGAGTTTCGATATTAATCTTAGCCTTAATGTTTGAATAAACCTATATCATATTTGAATTGGTATATAATGTTTAAATTTATAATTAGATTAATGAAATAACTTGATTGATATAGTGCTGATTATTTTGAAGATTTAATTAGAATGTTTGAAGTTTAGGACCAATTTATAAGGTAAGTAACTGGTGGTTTGAGGAATTTTACTGAAATTTAAACCAAGAAAAAAAATGACATTACGCACACGGCTCTCATTAAATAGTAAGAAAATCTGCGACATTACTCGTCACTTCAAACACTTTTGGGAGCCAACTCGATTAGTTTGTTCTTTTCCTTACTCCTTTAAGTCCCAAACACAACTCTCTTGTAGATCACAATTCTACCCAATGATCCATTTCACGTTTTACTTTAATTCCTAGTTCCTCTCATCAATCTCTCAACTATTAGAAATCCATTCAAATTAAGAAAAGGGTTCATCAAACACTCGCCTCAAAAAGGAAATGGACGTTTAGGGGGCTTCTTATAGGAAATGCTCTGTCACGTTATGGTAATATTTTGCATTGATTCTCCTTTTTATCATTAGTGAATTTAAAGCAACGTTTTTTGATCTGATTGAGGGGTTTGTTTGTTTGTTTTTTTTATCAGATTTGATCACTTCGTTAGGGACTTAAACTCTCTATATAGAGTTCGATTATTGTTCATTGTGCTGTGTTTTCAAGGTAAGATTCCTGGTTCTCGTCGAATGTGTGGAATGTAAATGTAACAGTCATTTGGTTGTCTAGGACCCTGTTTTAGCATTCAATTTATTTATCCTACAGTCATTTTCTTTTTCGAGTTCCTATATTTTGGGGTTGGTTTATTTTGATTGAAGTGCGTGATCTCGTGTTTTAAGACAAAACCCAGGTCTTATATGGCGTAAAAGATTAAGCTTTGGACTTGTAGTAGAAGCCCGTGGGATCCAAACTTATTGCATTTATGGATTCTTTGATGTACTTTGTTTCAAAAGGACCTATGTTTGATTCTATTTTCCTTCTGGTTAAGAAAGATATCGCTTGCTTATATTATAACTTGCTTTGATGATTAATTCTGGCTTGTACTTAATGTCTTGCCTAACTCGATTGGCTCTTAAATGTGATGATGTGGTAATAACCCTTTTTCCCCTCTTATCATTTTGCTGTTTACAGCTTGAGACTTCAAGTTTTAATTTTAGTTTTCTACTTTTTTCTGATGATTTAATAATGTTAATATCCTTGTTCATAATTCTCTCTATATTGAACCATATTCATGCAACCGAAGATTCGAACAGCAATATTAGAAGCTTGTAATATTTTCAAATTTAATCATTTGCTCATGGTTATTTTATCTCACTGCCTTTTTTTTCAAGTTGAAGTTATGTTTCATGTTTGATATACTATCTGCTGTTGTCAAATCTTAGCTCAAATGAGCTCTCTACTTTCTTTTGGAGGCCAAAGCAATTTATGCATCAAGTTTCAAGATCATAATCGTTTTTGAGAATGATCATGATCCTTGAATTTTGATTATGGGCTAATTTGTTATCTTAAGCTGTTCAATATCTGTTAATTATTCATTTTCCCTGTATCGCCGTTTCACTTAAAAAGTCGTGTACTACTAATGTTTTGATCTCCCTCCTGTGGATCCTTGCGGTAGAGTAAGCTGATTTTATTACCAGAGACACGGAGTACTGGTTTGTGCTTTTGCTTTATGCCTCTGCCATTTATAATCGAAACATAAGAGTATTTATAAATATATTATCGTCTATATCGACTTAAGATGTGATATCAGACATGTTACTGGCTTTCCGTTTAATGTTTCCGATGCTGCTTCAGTAAATTCATTGTTTTACTGCATGCTTAATTTACTGCAGATGGGAGATGTGGCTAAGGACTTAATATCTGGGACTGTTGGAGGAGTAGCACAGTTGATGGTCGGGCATCCTTTCGATACCATCAAGGTTAAGCTTCAAAGTCAGTCTACCCCACTCCCTGGGCAACCACCCCAATACGCTGGTGTTATAGATGTTGTCAAGCAGACTTTAGCTGCTGAAGGTCCAAGGGTTTTGTGTAAGAGCATGGGTGCTCCCCTGGCGACTGTTGCAGCCCTTAATGCGGCTATCTTTATGGTCAGAGGGCAATTGGAGGATCTGTTGAGATCAGAGCCTGGTGCCTCACTCACAGTTAGCCAGCAATTCGTTGCCGGTGCTGGGGCTGGAGGTTCTGTTTCAGTCTTAACTTGCCCCACGGAGTTGCTCAAATGCAGGTCGGTAACATTGCTCTTTTTTGTTCAAATAGGATAAGTCTTCGAGCATAATATTTACTTCTTGGTACATATGGTGAATGCAAGCACAGAATGCTTTGGCACATTCTGGTTCAGCTAGTGCAGCATTGAAGTATAGAGGGCCAATTGATGTAGTCAGGCATGTTCTAGCTTCAGAGGGTGGCATAAGGGGTCTCTTCAAAGGATTCATTCCCACCTTGGTTCGTGAGATTCCGGGAAATGCCGCTATGTTTGGTGTTTACGAAGCAGTGAAGCAGTACATGGCAGGAGGACCAGACAGCAGTAAGCTGGGAAGAGGATCTTTGATCATGGCGGGAGGTGTGGCCGGAGCTTCGTTCTGGATCGGTGTCTACCCAATTGATGTGTGCAAGAGTGTGATCCAGGTAGACGACTACAAAACCCCCAAGTACAGTGGCTCTGTGAATGCATTTCGTAGTATATTAGCTTCGGAGGGAGTGAAAGGAGTATTCAAGGGGTTCGGACCTACCATGGCACCAAGTATGCCCGCAAATGCAGCATGTTTCTTGGCATATGAAGTCACAAGGTCTGCTTTGGGCTAAATCAAGTTTTATTGCTTTTCTTTCCCCTTTTTTTTGCGCTAATGCAATAATTTTATTGAAATAAAGACAATATAAGGACGCAGGTCACCGAGCTAAGATGCCAAAATGAGTACAATCACAAGGGAAAGACGCCAAAGTTTAAAAGAAGATAAAATCACAACACCCTAAACTTTAAAATGATTAAAGTGTTTTCTAACTCGTTTAAAATGACTGTGTTTTGAAACCATTAAAAAAATTAGAGGAAAAATTAAATTTTTTATGTGTTGGTCACTCAATGATTTAATATGAAACTCGAGATCCGATAATGATTTGAATCAGATTAAAATATTAAACATTCTTCGAAACTTTCTATTTGATTGTACTGAATGAATTAATATTTCTTTATTGGATCATTCCATTTTGAGGCAAATAGATCATTTAGGATAAAAAGGAATTAGCTTCAAAAATAATGATTCAAAGTTGTTACATAGTTGAACAATGCAATACCAAACACAAGATTGTCTTTCAAATCTTCCAATTCATGTAGAATCATGCTGACGCTGATCCACTCCTTTTCCTATTCAAAGATTAACCCTTTATCACACTGCCAATTTTTTACAGATGAAGAGAATTACAGATGTTAGACCCCTCCCTCCTTATCTTTTCCCTTCGCTCTGCATTCTGCGAATGGCAGACTCTGAATCTACCACTCACCACCTCACAGTCCCCCCGGGATAACCCACCACGAGTTCGACAAGTTAATCCCTTCCGTCACTATGTTCCACACCTACGCAGTAGGTCCCGGAAAATGTTCTTCCTTATTAGCCAAACATATCGACGCCCCACACGACGTCGTCTGTTCCATCGTCCGCCGTTTCGACAAACCCCAAACTTACAAACATTTCATCAGAAGCTACGCCTTTGAAGAAGGTTCGCGAATGGTGGTGGGCTGCACGCGTGAAGTCAAAGTGATCCCGGGTTAACGGCTGATACCAGCACCGAGAGACTCGATATTTTGGACGATGAACGACGGGTCACCGGGTTTAGCATCATTGGAGGGGAGCACCGGTTGAGGAATTACCGGTCGGTGACGACGGTTCACGGTTTCAACCATGACTGGAGGATCTGGACCGTTGTTTTGGAATCTTACGTCGTTGATGTCCCAGAAGGTAATACGGAGGAAGACACGAGACTGTTTGCTGACACCGTCATTAATTTAAATTTAAAAAACTGGCGTCTGCTGCCCAAGGGTTAGCGCGTGATGATCAAGGTAATAGTTCATAGTGGGAAACTGCGACGTTAAAAAAGCACACGTGGGAAAATGTATGTACAGATTCAAATGAAAATCCGGGAAATAAGGGGCAGTTTGTTGTAATTATTTATTATTATAAATATGAAGTCAGACAAAATATGTTATATGTTTAAAGATAATTTTTAATCTCTTAACATATTTTTTGTATCTATGGTACTCGAACACATGTCCTCAAAGAACAATAACAATTCATTTATCATGAAGTCCACTTGATTCGTATATTTTTTTATTTTAACCGTACAATACAAAATGAATATAAGATATATATATTTAAAAAAATTAATTATTGATGATGTACACACAACTTATAGATACAATTATTTAAATTTAAAACTTTAAAATAGAACAATACTATCTTTAATTATTAAATTCACAGTTCTAATTTCTTATAAGTTGGTCTTGTTACATGCTTAAATTATATTTTAAGCTATAATGAAAACAGAGCAGTGTTCTTCCATTTTGTTTGGCCAATAGGAGCTGTCTCCACTCCCCCGGTCCCTTAATCTTCTAATGAGATCTCTTAATTTGCACATGCATTTGACCCTACATTACTTTCACTACAGCAAAATAGGTATATAACGGTGTTTGTCACGGCGTTTTCAAAAAAAAAACGCCACTAAATTTATACATATCACGGCGTTTATATTTAAAACGCCGCTAAAACTCGTACTTTAGTGGCATTTATTTGACAAACGCCGCTAACAATCAGTACTTTAGTGGCGTTTGTAAACAAACGCCGCCATAGAATAGTTCTTTAGTCTCGTTTTTAGAAAAATGTCGCAATATGGTACATATATCGTGGCGTTTTTAGGAAAACGTCGTTGAAACCTAGTACTTTATTGGCGTTTTTCAATAAACGCCGCTAAAACGTAATACTTTAATGGCGTTTTAAGCAAAAACGTCGCTAAATACTCGTACTTTAGTGGCGTTTCCTAACAAACGCTGCTAAAACGTAGTATTTTAGCGGCGTGTTTAAATAAACGCCGCAATTTATTAGTACATTAGTGGCGTTTCTATTTACAAACGCCGCAAATGTACAGTTTCTAAGTCCCACCCATTTAAGCCTCTTTCATTTTTCCCCTTCGTCTATTTTTTTCATTCTCGCCGTTTACCCAAACCCATCTACTGGTAGTTTCCGAAGAGTGCTTCATCTCATTTTCCAAATTATTTTCTGTGATTTCTTTCCTCTGTTAGTCACTCCTACATCATTCGCCTTCTCCACGTTTTACAAGTTTGTCTGTTTTTTTTCTTTTTTTTTTCATTCCAACAGTCGTGATTTCAGGAATACTCATTTTAAATATCTCTTGAACCCAGTGGATTAACAGTTCAATTTCAGTCCAACAGTCGTGATTTCATCCAGATCTTTATTGGGTTCTTCTTTGTGCGTGTTTTGTTTTGATTTTCTTTTCTTTCCTCTGCGTTCTCCGGCTTGTTCAATCAAATATTGGGTCCGTCCCTTCCATATTGGACCAAGCTGCTGCTTCCACTAAATCTTTCTCTCTCTCCTTCTCAAGGTTAGTGATTGGCTTGGGGTCCAGAAATCCTGAGGAAATCCCATGGGCTGAGGCTGGAGCTGAGTATGTTGTCGAGTCTACTGGTGTTTTCACCGACAAAGACAAAGCTGCTGCTCACTTGAAGGTTTGTGAAAATAATTTTAGCTAATGTACACTTATGGTCTTATTAGAACTAAGTTGATTGGAATTTACCCGACATATGTTTTCCAAGAGGCAGAATTTTTTTTACTTTTGGAGCCTAATTATTTTTCTTATATTTGTGTTTGGTGTTCTTATTTCGAGTTATGTTTTGTTGCTTTTCAGGGTGGTGCAAAGAAGGTTGTTATTTCTGCTCCCAGTAAGGATGCTCCCATGTTTGTTGTTGGTGTCAACGAGAAGGAATATAAGCCTGATCTTAACATTGTCTCCAATGCTAGCTGCACCACCAACTGTCTCGCCCCATTGGCCAAGGTAATATTTGTTCCTAGTAAATTTATTTGTGCGTCTAGCTTATAGTTGTTATCTTTGAGTTGATGACATACTTCTAACTCGGTGGCAGGTGATCCATGACAAATTTGGCATCGTTGAGGGTCTTATGACCACTGTCCATTATTACTGGTTAGTACTTAAGCTCTCATTTTACTTCGTTTTGCAACCATTTGCATATTATTGACTGATGTTTCTATTCTTTTATTCAGCTACACAAAAGACTGTTGATGGTCCATCAATGAAGGACTGGAGAGGCGGTAGAGCTGCTTCTTTCAATATCATTCCCAGCAGCACTGGAGCTGCCAAGGTATGTGTTATGTTAATTTTTAGTTTCTCAAATGCTTTATTATGCAAGTTGTTACTGGAATTGAAGTTTGATGGTTGATAGTGATGGTTATCATGTAATCATATAGGCTGTTGGCAAAGTTTTGCCGGCATTGAATGGCAAGCTGACTGGAATGGCTTTTCGCGTTCCCACTGTTGATGTCTCTGTGGTTGACCTCACTGTGAGACTTGAGAAGAAGGCTACCTACGAGGACATTAAGGCTGCAATCAAGTAATGATTAGAATAATTATCTTATAATCATACCTTAAGTTGTCCTTAAGATAGCACTTTGAATTCTTTTCTTACCCCTTTTTTTGTGCATAGGGCGGAATCTGAAACTAACTTGAAGGGAATTCTTGGTTATGTAGAGGAAGATTTGGTCTCAACTGACTTTGTTGGAGACAACATGTATGATTTTTTTATTTCTTTTTAATGTTGGTTTTCTGGCCTGTCATACGATCTTATGTTACTATGCTTCACATGACTTTTTAAGAGTTTGAAATATTTGAAAATCTAGTCCGAGTAACATAGCCGAGGGTTTTAGATTAGGAAATTGGAACTTATGTTCTATGCAATTTATTATCAGGTCAAGCATTTTTGATGCCAAGGCTGGAATTGCTTTGAACGACAACTTTGTTAAGCTGGTTGCATGGTATGACAATGAGTGGGGTTACAGGTAAATTATACTTGTCTTAATTCCGGTTTTGTGTAGCTCTAAGTACTATACCTTCAATCAGACTTGTATGCTTGTATGAGTTTTCTAATGGACTTCTTCTTGTGTCCCAGTTCCCGCGTTATCGACTTGATTCGACACATGGCTTCTGTTTAAGCTTAGCGAGTGATTGGATTGTGGTTGGTGTTTCCAAGCCTTTTTGCCTGCTTCAATTTAATTTTAATTTAGAAGAGAGATGTGATGAGAATAATCGAATTGTACGGGACATATGAACTTAATTAGCTCTAATTATTAATGTATTTTAGGGTCAAAGGATTATGAGAGAAATCAGTGACATTCAAAGAAAGGTCAGTACATAAACATACAAAATAGAAGTCAAAAAGGAGGAATTAAAAAGATACTAAAGAACATACATAAGACTGTTTTGATGCATGCATTGCAGGAAGTTGAATTGATGGAAGAAAATGAACGATTGAAGCAACAAGTATGACTTTTCCTTCTCGTACATAATACTATTCCATGTTATTATATTTATAAGTATAGGTAATAGGCTACAAGCTTTCATCACTGCATGTATTGCAGATATCCGAGGGTCGAAGACAAGTTGCCGGTGACTCGGAGAACATCTTTGAGGAATGTCACTTGTCGGAGTCGGTGACCAACGTTTGTACTTCCAACGGTAATCGACACGACTACGAAAGCTCCAATACATTTTTGAAACTAGGGTAAATTCAATTGCGCAAACAAATACCAAATTTACTGTTAAAAAGCATCGGCCGACTCCATTTTTATTCTTCCTCGGATGTTTTGTAGGTTACCGTATGTTACAAATAATGTTGGGTAATGCTAATAGTCTCTGCTCTGCAACATGCCATTGGATACAATTGTATATTTCTCACTTGTTATACATCAGGCCATTCACAGTGGTATGTACTTTCCTTGTATTACATATCTCGTTTATTTATTTTCTTCTGTTAGGGGTTAGAAAGCATGTACAGTTTGGCACAGAAAAGCATTCAATTGAAACCAATGGCCTCTGCACATAAGTTGATGGGCTTATAATTGAAATTCTTGGGAAAATACTGAGGTGACAAATGGGGATAAAATATTAATTTACAATCTCCGTTAAATTCTCTTTTGCTTTCTTATCTTTAAGTTAGATTGTGCTTTTGTCTGTTCTCAGGTTGTTTTAGCAGAATGCTTGAAAGGATTTGGTCCTTGGTAAGCTTCATATTTCCATCTTTATATCTTTCTGTTTGTTAGGAATGCAGTTTTGGAGCCTTTTCTGGGTGCTATTGATTTAAAATATGTTTGGTCCGATAAGCTGTTAGAAGTTATCATGAAATTCAAGCTTGGATGTTTCTGCACAATTATTAAGATCTATCTCTATATTTTGCTTATCATCATGATGGTTGCCCATGCCATAGAGTTGTTGACTGCTGGGACTGATCATGCAGAAATGTGTTGTTAACTTTTTTAACGTAAGATATAATGGATTTTCATATAAACTGATGATTTATTTGGATATGAAACTAGAGATCGGGTTTGCATTGCCATGGATGGGGCCTTTTCAAGTGGCATGCCAATTGGAGTAAGACCTCATGAAGCAAAATATCTGTGCAAGAAATGACAGGACGATACTAGCTCTGCATCATTGTTTTCCCATATAAACTGGATTTATCTCTTTGAATTTAAGCGCCTCATTGTGACGAAGAGTTTTGAAGAATGTGTAAGATTAGAAGCAAAATATCTTAGATATTATTGTTTATTATAGTTAATAATGTTGAACTACATTATATTTTACGTTAATGTAAACTTTGATTTATTATTATGGATTTCATTTTTCTTGTTATGGATTTTAAGTTTGTTGTTATGGATGTCAAGTTTATTGGAAAATGCTACAGGTTAAATTTGGGTAATAAAAGAGTATAAAACAACATATGACAAATTAGTTTTAATTTGCAAAATCAATTTCTTTTAGCTATAGAGAGGTGGCGTTTGTATCTTAAAACGCCGCTATAGATATGACCTTTTGCGGCGTTTGTTCTAAAAACGCCGCTATATACCAGATCTTTTGCGGTGTTTGTGGGAAAAACGCCGCTAAATCTCAACACCTATTGCGACTTTTGTGGGAAAAACTCCGCTAAATCTCAACACCTATTGCGGCGTTTGTTGGAAAAACGCCGCTAAATATCAACACCTATTGCGGCGTTTGTTGGACAAACGCCGCTATATATCGTTACCTATTGCGGCATTTTTTGTTACCAAACGCCGCGAACTTTAGCGACGCTATTTTCAACGGCGCTTTTTGCGGCGTTTGTCATAGCGCCGCAGGTGTTTTTGCAGCGCTTAAAAACACCGCTATAGGTAAAAAACGCCGCAAATGTACAGTTTTGCTGTAGTGTTTCTACAAACGATTTGGAATTGTTCGATACGATTATCTAGGTACGAGCATAAAATTTTATATGAAATGATGAATTTATAAAACTTAATAGGACTAAATTTGTAAAATTTTAATTGGGATAAATTTATAAAAATTTTAAAGGATTGAAAACATATTAAATGAAAAATACAAAAGAAAATATAGATCATATTAAAAATCAAAATTTTCAAAGAACAACTATCCCCGCCAGTCCCTTTTTCGATCTATCCCTACAATCATGCACATCCCATTTTATATCAATGTTGTTATTAGTGAAGTTTTTGTTGGCCGAGACAGACATCTAGTTTTATGTCTGGTTATTTGAGGATATGAACTTAAGAAATTATATTATAAATTTAGAAATACAAAATTATAAATTTTCAAAGGATGTAAAATTAAATCATCAATTGAAAATAAATGAAAACATCTAAATTATGTGAAAATTTAAAGTTTTCATTGGTACGAGCACCCTCGATCCATCCTTATCTAATACCCTCATAGTTTAAGTTATGATACCTACTAAATTATTGGAATGTAATCACTAATATAAAAATATATCATCATATCATTCACTAATATAAAAATATATCATCATATCATTCACAAATACAAAAAATAATTATTATAAATTAAACAATAATATTATATTAACTAATTAAAATGTACTTATCAATGATATGTTGTTTTACTACTCTTCTCTATATATTTCAATTTAAAGATAAGTCCCCTGCAATTTCCATTATCACATAGACATCGCCATTATCTAAGCAATTAAGACATACCGGTGTATTTAATTTTCGGCTGGAAAACCCTAGATAGGCCGGTTTATAACTTCACATACTATTTCTCTTAGATTTTCATTAAAGATAATGTCTCATTAAAATCATATTATGATAAAAACGCTATGGAAAAATATATTAATGAAAGAAACAATAACGTATATTTGTAACAAGCATAATATGTTGTCTCGAAGGGACGAAATAATAATAAAGAGAAAGAGAGTACATCGCGTATTTACTCTCTCATGACAACGCTAAATGTGATTTGAGAGTATTCACAATCCGATTATGAATATAGTCTTCAAATGTTAAATAAAAATATTTACTGAAGTATTTAATAGAGTTAAGCTTAAGTGTCCAACCATTTTACTCTTATAAGAATTATTTTTTTGTTAAATTTGCATCTCTTTTAAAAGAAGTTTGAGGTTAAAATTTGGATTTAATTATTATCTTTATCTTAAGATTTTGGTAGAAATCTTAAGTGTTATAGAATAAAATTGTGTCTTCAAAAAGGTTCAAATTCGGGTTAATAAATGTCAGAGAAGCCTTCGTGATGGTAAGCTAAGATAGTAGTTGTAAACTTCATTGAAGAAGTTGCATCGCTATAAGTTACTATGTCTTATTTTTCTTCTTAACTATCAAAAAATTTGTAAATGTTAATTTATCCCCTTTCTTGCTATCGATTTATTGATCGAGCTAACATATTTCAAAAAATGAAAATGAACCTAATGATTATATGAAAGTTAATGGAAGAAGTTAAAATGGAAAATGGGGTAAGGAGAGGCCCGAACTCTTGACCTCAGGAAAACTCAACCAAGCTATGAGACCTACGCGCTAGCCAACTGCACCACCACCACTGATGACAATTCTCTCATAATTTTAATAACTATTTTTTCTCATTTGAATAAATAAAATACTACAGTCAAATTCCCTGTTAGAACTTGTCTGTTATTCATTGATCAATTAATGACTTCGTTTGATCTGAGTAGCTAATTTGTGTAATGTAAATAAATTAACCAGTTTATCCCACTTGAATGAAAGATGAGAAAGGAGATGATGATGACTCTACATTGAGAATAACCGATCGATTAACAGATGATCAAACAAATTAACAAGCAATTACTTGTTCATCGATCAACTTATTTGTTGTTCATTGATCATTCAAGTCCAACAAACTTAGTAGCTTGATTGCCTTGATCATTACTGATATGTAAACACAAACTAGTTTTTTTGCTTGTTGTTCATCGATCAATTACGTGTTTTCTTAGCTGTAAAGTCAAAATCTTTCATGACCATATTTAGAAGAAGAAGGAACAATCGTGGTTCTAAATTTAATACCCAAAGCTGTCCCGTTATCCAAATTACAAACGTATCTGATAAATTCCAACCTGTTATCTCCTTTTTCCAGATCATCACCTCCAAGCTAGCTATATTAAACCCTCGACCTCAGACATCTCTCGTCAACACCCTCCATTGTTCTCTCATTCATCAAAGAACTTTAAAAGAAAAATAAACAAAAGCTATGAGTTTGAACTGCTTGACTTGCCAGGTCCTGAAAAGAACTGACTCGGTCAATGAGAGGGATCACTCTGGCCGTAAACAAAAGCCTAACCTGACATTTTGCTGGGGAAGTGCAGCTTGGTCTCCGAATTACGAGCAAATCAGAAGTGAGCCAACGTCGAAGAAGGTGAAGAAGGGTCATCGCCGCCGGAATACCATTCACACGACGTATGAGTCCAAGGGTCTCGACGCTGATCACGCCGAGCCAAGGCTGGTGAGGAGCAGTGGGATGAGGAGGGATTGGAGCTTTGAGGATTTGAGAGGACCAGGGATGATCGAAAGATGAGAAAATAGATGATGATTATACGTTGACATTATTGTACATGCATGCATGCATGGCTCTTGGCAAATTAATGAACTCTTTTATTTCGTCACTTCTTTAAATTTCATAAATATTTTTTTATTGTTATGAGTTGTAATTTGATGTTAAATTATGGATGGATATGGATTTGTTTTCATGTTGATTGCATAAACCAAGTAGCAACTGTAATTGGTTGTTTGGTTGAAGAAACATTGAATGTATACACAAATGATCATATCCCATATTCTCTGTCAAAAAAAAATCTTCTTTGAATAATTATATCTGGCTTTTAGTTCAACATTCAGCGAACAATAATTTATGCCTTGAATGGAAATAACTCTCTCCTTACGAATCTCTTTTAAAAGAAACATTTGTCCGATGTGAGCTCGAGCGTCGTGAATGATATTCAACGATTGCGTTTCAAATTTTGAGTTGAAAAATCTCCTCGTTTTCACATGCTTTCCTGGTTAAACCTGTTTTACTTTTAACAACGGCATTAACATTTTTGTACAAAAAACAAAACGGAAGAAGAAGACAGTACGGCCAACAGCACGATTGAGTTGTGAATTATTGAATAGATTGCTTTGATGATCGACACTGGATTTTGGTTACCGGCTATGTCCTCCTGTAAAATTCCACCAGCAAACATAATGTCCCAATAGTTGAAAAAGGACACACCTACAGGTCTATAGCCACATGCTCAGCAGCCATCAAAGCTTTCAATCCAATCCATTCATTTTCTTAACTCAATAATCGATCTCAATAGTTAAAGAAATTATTATTCTGTTTTAAGATCTTTAGTTCAAATAAATGCGACTACAAAATGTGTTGTCAATAGTTTAAAAATATTATTCTCTTTTAAGATCTTTAATTCAAATAAACGCGAGTGTTGTTAATAGTTTAAAAATATTATAATCATATAATATCTTGATAATCAAATTATTAAAAAATAAAAAGTCTATTTTACCCGAGGTGAATTCTATCACAAACTGTAAATTTGGTGAAGAAAACATACTTTTAACATGCAGTTTCCAGGGAATTACCAGCTCCCAATCGGATAAGCTCTGTTCCCATTACACACTGGCATGTGCAGAATTATTATGTGGTCGAGCATTTTCGGCACGTCGAAACATTATTATTGTTGTTGTTGTTGTTATTATATGCTCGAAAACAATCCCAACTACTCCCAAGAGTATAATAAAAAAGCATGTGATAAACCTGGAGAACAACTTAACAAACGCAGAACTTCATACTGGTTCCAATATATAACAAGCTATATAAATATACATGCATATGTACATAACAAGATTTAACACAAAAAGGCTATTGTCAGTTGACAACTTAATAACCTATCAAACTATTGAATATGCTTAAATACCACTAAGAACAAAATCCAAGAGTATTTTTACAGAGCTTGTGTGCCACCAGGAGCCTTAAAATGTCCCGGAGCTCTGAGGGCCGTTTTAACAATCGTACCACAGTCGTATCTATCTCCGATCAATCTTTATCCCCATTGCTTATTTGGGTCAAGCTCTGCTCTATCCTCTGTATCTTGCATCTCTGAACCGAACCGATTTGCTTATGTAGGTCAAGCTCTGGTTAATGTTCGATGTCGTTCGTCTCCAATTTTGGATGTTACAGCTAGCCTGAGCTGCTCCTGAGTGTAAAACCGGTTCCCCATCTTCACGGTGGCTTGTTGGATCATCAAGTCGTTCACTACAGTCACACTGGCGTGTTGCACATGGAGGTCTAACTCCTTTAAAGCAGTCATTAACCTTGCTGCTGGATGGTTCTTTCTCTTACATTGTACTTGAATCATTGCATCCAGCCCGATGATCTTCACTTCGATTTCCAGTTCTATCAATTTATTGCACATCAATTGTGATGAATCTTTATTTGCCAATTCTTTCTTCGTCGCTTCTAATTGTTTCTTCAGCTCGAATTTCTCTGAATCTGCATTCTGTACCTTTGTGCTAAGCTCTTTGATGTACGAGATACCATCACCGAGGAGCGATGCTTTATCCATCTTCGATACGTTAGGAACCACAACACGCAAGGCGTAAAACCTCTGATTGAGCCTCTCTCTTCTTTGACGCTCCGCTTCGACATGATTCAGAGGCTCTTCCCTTCCATTTGCTGGCTTTCTCCCTCGTTTCCGAGGCTTCTTTTCAGGCTCCAAAGCTCTGCTACAATCAGGTTCTTTAACGACGGATGCTTCCATATCGGAGTGATCCAAATCGGCAGCACCTCCACTTGATTTCACCATACCAGAAGAAGGCAACACTACACCAGAAGAATCACCTGAAAACAAATTCCCACTCCTCTTACTCTCACCAAAATTCAGTATCTCCTGGGATTCTGGTTTCAGCAAATTAGAAGAATTCCCATTCCTTGAACTGTTAATCCCATCGAAACCATAATCGGAGAAGCTCTGGCCCTGCTGGTGATTCTGCTGCTGTTGATGATGATTTGCAACATGAATAGAACTCGGATTCTCAGTCAAACTACTCGAACTCGGATTATCACCGAACTGAATCGACTTTTTAATCTGCTGATTCTGTTTGCTAGGATTATTGTTTTCCTTATTTTCAACCCCAGAATTTGGATGACTAATCCAAAGCGAAGACGGATCATTTTCGCCTTCATCAGCAATATTATTACACAGAGACAAATAAGCAGCATCAATTCCATTATTGAAGTTAAACAAAACCCGAACCTTATTATCAGACCGGAGCTTTGCGTGATGAGTTCGTTGAACCCAATTCAACCACACCATTTTCCGACGGTATACAAACCATCGTTTGCAAACCGAAAATCTGCCCTTGCCTCGCTCGTTCGCACGTCGAACCGGCTAGCCGGTCCGATCCAACAACCCAGACTGGAGTTGAATTGAAAAAAGCCTGCCCCGGAAGCCCGCGGCCGTTGACGAAAGACTGCGTCATGGAAACCAAAAAGAACCACTCCGTATCGGTGACTTCTTCGTCGATGGCATCGTCGGTGGGAACCATGGAACCGGAAATCAAAGAATTAAGTTCTCTAAAAACTTTTTTACGGTGCTCTTGTTCCGAAACTGCAGATGAAGTTTTCAACTTCCCTTTCCCTTATCTTCTTCGCCTTTGTAATACCCATTGCCCGAACCCATACCGAGGAGCGGAGTAATCGTAGGAGGACTGCCAAAAAATGGCGTAAGTCCAACACTCGCGGGCGCCTTCGATGAGAGCATGGAGACGCTGCTGGAGAGTTTCTTGATTGAAAAGAGAAAAAGAGGGCTGAGATTGAGGTGACTTTGAAAGGCCGGGTGGACCGCTAGCGGCAGCAGAAGAAGTAATAACAGGTGGTGTGGAAGTGGATACAGAGGATTGAGGCGGCGGCGGCCATAAAGCTGAAAGATCGGAGCTCATAAAAACTTCCGTGACCGATGCGTTTTCATCCGTCCAAAGATTCATCGTCGACGCTAATCGAGAATCCGTCATATTCACAAGAAAGTGAATTTCTTTTCTTCGTTTTTTTAATCAGAGGAACTCGTTTCGTGGTTAGGATGAAGATGAAGAATGTAAGGATGGAGGCAAATGGATACAAGGGAATTAAAATATTATTTTAACTTTTTATTTGGAGGGAATTAGAGAGCCGACAAAAAGCGAAGAAATATCTACAAGGCCGGGTCCGAGGAGAGCCGATTAAATCGGTAAATAATAGATATCTGGCGCATGAAGCAGCCGTCATTTTATTATGAAAAAAATATTATTTTAATTTTTTAGAAGGTCGTGGGTTTAGTTCATATGACCTTCAAAAATAGATTAAATTTCTTAAAAGGTCACGAGTTCAATTCTCGTTACCTTCAAAAATAAGTAAAGTTAATGACATGTTAATAGAAGGATCCAAATGGAATTATATTGATAATTTGAGAAATGATATAAAATATTTTAAAGTTTATGGACCAATTTAAAATGTGATCATAGTTTGGGGACTGATAAAATATTTTAAAACTTAAAGAACCAATTTAAAATAAGGATAACAGTTTGACAACGTCTTACGCAATTAACTCTTAAAAGAGTGAAGTATATATTCCTTTGCCTCCTTAAAAAATATCCGCGACATTTTCCAAATAACCGCCACCTGTCAATCACTCGCCCTGATACTTAACTTATTTTAAAGAATCTTTTTGCTTTGGAATAATTCACTTGAAGTCACTATAATAATTTGGTAAACTGCCTATTTGAACACTCACCCATTACTTACTTTATGTTTTGGTCACAAACTATTTTTTTTTAAATATATATACCTAGCATTACATTTGGTTTTGTTTGTCACCCGCCGTTAAAGAATTAACGTGATATTAATGTGACATATTTTAAAATTTTTCAATGTTGATATGGTATTATTTTATGGTGACACATCATCATCATTGTTAATTTTGTAACGACGGGCAATGACAGATTCAAAAATATTTTTTAAGTTACGCACACATATATGAATAATATAATTTTTTTGTATGTGAGGTATGTACAAATAAAATTTCAAGATAGAAACAATCAATAAAATAATTAACTAACCTAAGGAAAGTTGAATTTCAATGCATATCCTGTAAACCATGTAGATTCACCAATGACGATATATGACCAAAACATATACAAAATATTATTTTATTTTAAAAAATAATAACTAAATGAACAAAATAAAAACTTAATAATAAATAATCACAGTTTTACATAGATTTAGGATCATTGGATGAGGAAACTCAAATGTTGAGATTAATAGTAGAAAATGAAAAGATGTTCACTAGAAAAAGAATAAGGAGTTAATCACAGCCTTTGATTTCCCTCCTCTAACAATCCTAAAAATGTGTAAAACTGTTTTTACATTGGTTGTAAGTGGATCATAATCATATATATATATATATATATATATATATGAGTTAAGATCCACTTACAAAATATAAAACTTTTTTAGTTTTACACATATTTAGGATTGTTAAATGAGTAAAA